GAAAGATTGCCATTAGTCAATTTTATTCCCTGTGGTTCATAATCCTTTGTTTATATTTACTGGATTGTTAGAGCAATAAGAGTTGCTCACGTCAAGGATCGTCGACTGTAAACAGAAGCTAGCAAATGTGAAGGGCTTTAAAGACAGTTTCCTACTCACAGCAGTGGAGGAGGATTCTTTGTGCGTATGCATGTGTGTGCAGGTGTGTTGCACATGAAGATGCAAAACTATTATAATATGCGAAAATATCTGGGAGGGTAATATAGTGGCAAAAGTTTAGATCCAAAGCCCATAGTTTCTCCTATCAAACTAGTGGCAAATTTCAGACTCAAAGCCCATTGTTCTATCAAAGTCTCCAAACTCTCAAATTTCCTAGTGAGAAATGTGGCTATGACTTAGTCAAATTCTAGGATATTAATTGGGCCACTCTTTTTAAAAATTCAGAGTCTATGGTGAGGGCATCTGGATTGGGAGAACACCTGCTGTAGTCTCTCTTCTTTCTCTGTCTCTTCCACTAGAGTGGGAGAAGGCCGATCTATTTCTTCCACCTTTTGTTTCCTTTGGATATATTTCTGCTCCTAGGATATGGGAAGGAGAGTCTCGCTTTTTCCTTGGCTTCCTTCTTCAGTCTTCTTTGGGGCTTTCATATCCTCAGGGTCAGACCAACCTGAACCTGGGTGGATTTGAGCAGCCCTGGGGTGGGCCTCTCCTGGCACTGGGAATGGTCTCCCTCATTGCCCCTGTCCTCTCTTCCTCTTGAAGATGAGCTTTGCAGGGGCTTTCCTTCTCCCACAGTGGCTACAGTCAAGTTGCAAGTGGGTGCTTGGTGCAAAGGCAAAGGATAGGCCTCTCTGTTTTCCTTGTTCTGGGGCCGTGGTGGCTCCCAGCCACAGCAGCTCATGTACCTATCTCACTAAGGCTTCACATTCTGGCGTTTGGGCTTGTGGATCCAGGTAGGGAGGTACTTTTGCTGGCTACTTCCTCATTGCTGAACTGTGTACCAGAGGAGCTCATAGGGGAGCAGCTGGGCTAAAATAGAGTGTGGGTATTCCTGGGACCAATGGCCAAAGCTCACCAAGAGATATCTCTAACATTCTCCAATGTGTGAGAGAATCTAAGTTTTAAAAACAGATGAACAACTTTTACTTGAGCCTGACAGAGTGAGATATTATAGGAAATATAGTGGACAAGAATACACTAGTATGATACTTATTTACAAACCAAACCAAAAGTTCCATTCCTTGCATACAAATTTTATTCATCTGCTTTAAAACCTGCCGCAACAAGTACAGCTCATCATTTTTTTCATGCAAACACTGGAATTTTACTTCTCTTAAATAATACAATCTTGTCCAAGTAGCTATATTTTTGAAAAAATATCCAATAAGCTAAAATTTCTGTTAATACTGAGAGTTATACAGGGAAAGACTACTAGGCCCATTTTTACTTTTAGTTTTTTAATGAAAGAACTGAGATGGAAAAAGAATAAATGGTTTGGGCAAAGAAGCCAGTTCACTAGTGCCGCTGAAATGACATAGTCCTGGGCTGCTTCTTCAGTATCAATGATCCGCGGCATTTAGAAACTGACATTTTTGATTCAGGAAAGAATTTCTTCTCTCTACTTGCATCATACTCTACTTCTTCATTTATTTCTAATTGGCAGTTAATTGTGTATTCGATGTGATGTTTTGGTCTCTGTATACATTGCAGAAAGATTCAGTTAAGCTAACGAACATATTCATCACCTCACCAGCATACTGTTTTTTTTTTTTTTTTTTTTTTTTTTTGTGGTGAGAATGTTAAAAATCTCTTGGCAATTTTGATTATGGTCATTGGAGGCTGTTTTTAGAGAACATGCACTTTGCTGAGTTAGAAAGTATATTACGCACATGGACGAAATGAAGATGCTATTTTGCTGTGTTGAAAAGAAAATTAGGTCTATGTCAAGGAACTGATAACTTCAGCAAATCAAACAGATTTGCATTAGAATCAATTTCCGAAAAATAGTATACTTGAGGAATAAGCCTTTAAATAATTTCCTTTTTAGACAGAAGAAATTCTTTTAGCTATTTTAAGCAATCCAGATTCTATTTTTTCTTTTTTTTTGGTATTCCCCCGAAATACAAAACAAATTTTAAAATACCACAAAGAGCCACAATCTTTCTTTAAATGTGTTCTGTACAGTCCTTAACCCTGCTCTTTAGCACCTACTCTTTAGCACATAGAAAATGAGATTTGTCTCATTTTCTTTGCAGGCTTTTTATTCAGCAATGTTCAGATATCTTCGGCCCTGAGTTCAATGGTGTCTCCATGGCTCAAGCTGTCCAGTCTACCAATGAGTTCTACGGTGGTCGGAATATCACTGGAAGCAAAATCATCTTTCCCAATGGTTCCATTGACCCTTGGCATGCTCTGGGAATCATAAAGAATATCAGTGAAGAGTTGCCTGCTGTTTTCATGGAAGGTAACACAATTGTGACTAGTCAAAGACCAGCAAAAAAGATGAAAAACATCAAGATGTATTAATAAATTGCTTTTGATGTTGTTATTGACAAGAAACACAAAATACCACTAAGCAGGTGATAGGTATGCAGTGTAGTCTCCATAGGTAAGTACTTCATCATCCGAGCTTGCATCTAAAACAGAACACCTTAAAAAAATACTCTTGGCACAGAAAAAAATGATGTGCATGAAACAAACCATTTGTTTACTGTTGTCTTTATTGGTTTTCTTCCAAGAAGGTTAGGTATTTTCAGATAATGAAGTGAGATGAAGTTATTTTCTTTTGTGAATCTTATTGCTCATTAAAAGAATTTATTTTGTCTAAGGGGTCTGAGCACTAGGTAAATGATGTGTACAACAGCATACCAGATTGGTTCTTAGGGCAATAAACTCCCTTGGAATACAAGATCTTCCCATCGTGTATCTATGTGTTGCTACTACTGAAGTTAGTTTCGAGATAATCTCGATAGTCTATTTTTAGTAGTGGATAAAATGTGTATTCCCACTGCAAAATCAGAATCAGCTGCTTATTATGCTAATGTGATATTTACAAGAGTCGTCACCATGGTTTCCAGCTCAAAGTCCCTCAAAGCCTTAAGACTTGGTCAATGAAAAGTCAGACTCATAAACATGCAACTCAATTTTTAAAAAGACTTCCTTAAATAATAGAAAAAAGACCTCAAGGAGAAACAATTTTGGCAGTGGCATTGTAGCAAAAGTACCAACTACAGGGAGAGATTTAAATGTTAGACTATTGTTGAATCTTAGATCTTTAGTAATTTGGTGACTGGTAATAGAGTCTTCTATAGGGAAAAGTATGTTTGCTTAAAATAATGTACTGTTGGATATGTCCTCCATGGTTTTTTATATTGTATAACAATCAACTCTAAGCTGAGCAAAAACTTCCTGCTTTCTACCCAGAAATTCTTTTTTTGTGATATTATTATTACATTCTCAAGCTTGCTTTTGTTCAATAATATTTCAGGCTGTCAAAAGTTTTGCAGTAATTTTGGGGCTCCTATCTAGGACAATGGGCTCTGGACAAAATACCGTTCCATTTCTGAAGGCAAGAGTGGTTGAGTCACAGTTCTCATAGACAGCAGTGTGCAACCATAACTGGAAATAATTTGCTCCGCATAGAAGGCCAGTCAACTAGAGCCAAATCTCTACCAGTGACGGAAAAGCAAGGACATGGTCTTCATCTTTCAGTCCTCTGACAGTCATTTTAAAGGTGCTTATTAATTTGTTGATTATGCATCGTGATTTAAAAAAAAATCACTCCAGTTCACTTGGAGCAATATTGCCCTTGGGGGGACCATAATTTTTTCTTGGAGAATGAATTTAAAAAAAATTTTTTTTGTTGATTATGCATCGTGATTTAAAAAAAAATCACTCCAGTTCACTTGGAGCAATATTGCCCTCGGGGGGACCATAAATTTTTCTTGGAGAATGAATTTAAAAAAAATTTTTTAAAAATGTGTAAAGCACAGGTATACATATAGCACATAAAGAGATATACAGTATATCTGTGATATTAAAATTTTATGAGTGGCAGTGAGTAGGAAAAATGTCTAAAATGTCTCTTTAAGGAGACAATAATGAAAGAAAAGGTTGAGAAACACTGCTTTAGTTTCATTCAAGACTGTCTTAAGATATCTGTATTCCTACTTCTCGGGAAGATAAATCATCATTGCAAAGTTGTCAACAATGTTTTAGTACTGCAACTGTCACTATTACTGGGATTGTTTTATTCTTTCTTTGGTTCCTGTTTTGCTAGCTTGTCCTTAACTGCTCAGCTGTGATAGGAGTAGGTCAAATTAAATTATTATAAATTTATGTAATCATGAATTGACTTCAGAAATCATTTAATCCCTCAACCATTGTACTCAAATATTTGCATCTTTATTTAAACTCACTTAAAAATAACAGACAATAAAGCTTGAAATGTTATAGATATATTTAATACAATTCTCATATTCTCCCTATGTCATCTAGATGTTGGTGATGCATTGAACAGGTATTTCTTAGGCAACCATTATGTGCAATGTACAGAGATTCAGCAGTAAAACAAAACAAAACAATTTCCTACCTGTCATCATGGAGAGATGAAATGAGCATTAAAATACTAATTATGTAATAAGTAATTGAATTATAATTCTTATAATGCTTATAAAGATCCAAGAGTAAAAACTCAAATATGTTATATGGAAAAGCATGTATCATTAGGAACTGGTCTTGTGGTGGGACAAAGAGAACCTCATTCATGAAAAAAATTCTGCTCAGAACTAAAGGCTGCAAAGGCATGGGGAGGGGGAGGGGAAGACAGAGGGAGTAAAATGTATGAGGACTCTGAGCAGAAATGAACTTGGCTCTGTGGAGGAGCCAGAAGGACTGGTGTGTTTGGAGAGAGGAACTGGGGGGATATAGGTGCCAGTGAGGCTGGTAGGCAGCAGGTCAGATAACCTAGGGGTTTGTGGACTATTTTGAGGATGGGGGGAAACATTGAAACAGAAATGGAAGGTTTTAGAGTTCTAAGTAAGGGAGGAAATTAATGTGATGTGCGTGTTGAGATGCATTGTGACTGCGTTATGAAATCTTAGCTGCAGGAGAGCGAGTACGGGTGTGGGACACTAGTAAGAAGGCTTTTGCATGAGCCCAGTAGGGTGGTTGCAGTAGAGATGAAATGATATTTAGAAATCGGTGATTGACTGAATATAAAGGGTAAGGAAGAAAAAGGCCCCAAATAAGAGGCGTGGATTCCTACTTGTGCAACTGGGTGGACAGTGAACCATTTCCTGAGATGCCATACATGGGAGAAGAACCAGATTTAGGCAGGCCAGGACTGGGGGTGGGATGGGGAGAAGAGCACAGAGAAAGATTGTGAACCCAATTCCGAATGCACCAAGTGTGAGATGCCTGTGAGATATTTAAGTGGAAAAGCTGAGTAGGCAGTTGGATATACCACTTGCCTGGACAGAATTTGGGATGTATAATTAGGCAATTGGAGCCCTAGGCATGGATGAGATAGCCTTGGAAAAGAATATCAGGAAAGGAGACAGTTGGGCCTGGTAGTGGGCCTTGTGTTACTGCAACGTTAGAAGTCCAACAAAAGAGACTGAAGGTGGGTAGGGCGCTTGCTGGACAGCCAAGGAAGTGTTGTGTCATCAGGGAAGAGGGTATTTCAAGATGATGTGAGTGGGTTGTGTGGAATGCCACTAGTATTTCAAATAATATGAGAATGTTTTTCTTTTTCTAATTTTTAAATTTTGGGGTATGGTCAGTTAGCTCAGTTGGTTAAAGCGTGGGGTTGTACCACCAAGGTCAAGGGTCCAGATCTCCATGGCAAAACAGCCTTTGGATTTACTGACCTGGTCTCTCATCGGGAGCTGTCCAGGGGAAGTCAGTGTGGTTTGAGTACTCTGAAATACGTATAGGAGGTCAGGGAATGGAACCAGCAGGCACAGGCAACTCCTCCACGAGGGGAAAAAGAGAGAAAGAAGGACAGCTGGAGAAGGAAGTAGGCTTAGGGAAGAGGACCCCACTGCAGAGCGAAGGCAGGAGAACAGGGCCAACCTGATCACGGGGACCAGCCTTCACAGTTGCAAAGCCACACATTGCTGTAGTACAGAAGGGGGGAAATTATAGAAGAGGGAAAACAAAGTTGGTTTATAGGTTTGGTCACAGGAGTTTCAGAAAGTCAAAAGTATTCTTACAAATATCCCACCCAAATCCAGAACTCTCTTCAATTCCTGTTCTATAGCCTTTAAACCTCTCTGCATCTCCTCCTGGGATAATGCAGAGACATTTTACCAGTATCCCTCATCCACTCTCACTTCGTCTGACTTAACAAGTTCTCTCCCACTCACTCTTTCTTATAAAAAGGAGGAAGAGGTCATTTTTGGTGCCAAATGAAAACAAAAGGAAGCACTATCACTTGTATCTTCCACAGATGAGGTCTTAACACAAATTCTTGGTGGGAAAGGTTAATGCCTTATCCAGAGCTCATAATGGTTTTCCTCCTTGTGGCTCAGGGATGACAAATTTAGTGCCATGAAAATCTCATGCCCCTTCTTGGTTTTGCAAGGAGTACACAGCATAAATGTGACCTCAACAGTGACAAGACTGACGCTTTGTTCTTCCTTTTTTTTTTTTTTTTTGGCTTCCACATTGTTGCCAAGGATTAGATCACCTCTTAATGGGAAATTACAATTCCTTTAAGGATTAATTCAATCGAAATGTTAAAGAGCTGGGTGGGGAGGGTTTTTTCAGCACCTCAACTCCAAAGAGAAGAAATGTTATTTAAGTAGGTTCATATTGCATGTCTGGAGGGCTGGGAGTTTTGAGGTTTGAAGGGGTTAGTGGTGCTTCAGGAAATTCCAGGCTTTAGAAGATTTTCTGGTTGCCTGCTCTCTCTCCAAAAGGGATTCTTGCACTTTTCTCACCAAGATGGATCTGATAATGTTCAGGTCTGTGTCACACTCTCATGGACATACCCAGCTCGGGGGTGCTCACTAAGGCTGTGACATGGGACACGTGAAAGTCCCCACACATTTGTTGTGACTGCCATTTCTCTCTCACTTCAGAAAGATTATATTTCAAGAGCAAGTGATGCATATTAATATAATAGAAACGTGAACATCAGCTCTAAATAACATATATTGTATATTATAAATTATATGTCATTCACAAACTGCAGGATATGTTATTCAGTCAGATGATGAGTGCAAACTACTTAGTATAGAGACTGACACATAGCAAGTGCTCACTAAATGGTAACTCTGAGGAAGAAAAGTCAAATGACATGGAGAGACATTCACAGTGAACGAAAAATACCATAGAACCTTCCTTATTTCCCTTCCTCACCCCGATCTTTTACATCCTGCTTCTGAATCAGTGACCAGTGTCCAACACCAGCTGTTAACGATTGTACTTATTTTTAAGTGGAGGTAGTTTTATTTGTGCCTGGGCACCATTTATTTCAGCACCATCCAATAAAGGTATAATGTGAGTGCGATCCATTCGAACCACGTATGTAGTTTTAAATTTTCTAGTAGCCACACAAAACAGGTGAATTAACTTTAATAATATACTTTATTTGACCCAATCTGTTAAAAGTATTCTCATTTTAACACATAATTAATATAAAAGGCTTATTAGCAAACTGTTTACATCCTTTTTTTATATATACAAATATTTAAATTCTGGTGTATATTTTACTTGCAGCTCATCTCATCTTGGGAGAGCCATGTTTCAAGTGCTCTAGAGCTGCATGTGGCTCACGGCCATTTGATTCAATAGTGCAGGTTCAAAGGTAGTTACTTTTGCCATTTTACAGATGTAGAAAGTGACCATGCAGAGGTTGATTCTATTGGCCTAAGACTCACTGTGTAATAAGTGGTAGGGACCAAGACTCACACCCCGAGAGCCTGACAGGAAGCCCCGTTCTTTAAACACGGTGCCATGTGCCTTCCAAGTTGTTGGAGACGTGGATTCTTATGCTTTCAAAAAGACCTTGAAAACTTGAGAAAGCCATTGCCGATTCTTCTTTTTCTTTCTTTCCTTGCCTCTTCCTAGGTTCTGGTGGTTGCTCAGAACTCTTGGCCTTCCTTGGCTTGCAGCTTCGTCACTCCAATCTCTGCCTCTGTCATCACGTGACCTTCTTCCCTCTGAAATATGAGGACTCCAGTCATACTGGATTTAAGGCTCACTTGAATCCTCATCTTAACTAATTATATTTGTCAAATCTCTGCTTCCAAATAAGATCACATTCTGAAGTTCTAGATGGACATGCTTGTGGGGGGCAGGGGCGACTCTATTCAACTCAGTCCAAGTGTCAACTGTATCAGGTGCTCTGCTGGGCATGAGTGATGTCCTGGTAGGTGAGATGCCCATAGTCTCTGCCCTCCAAGAGGTGTCATGTGTGGAGAAAGAAGACAGACATTGATCAAATAACTGCACAGAAGCTTTCCTGGGTAATAGAAGGGAATTGAGAAGGAGAAGGAGCAGATTAGGCTCACTCTTTAGGAAGCAAACTCCTTGATAGGTGGGACCAGATCTTACTCATGTCTGAATTCCTGGTGCCTGGCACATGGCTGATGTTCAGAGACTGGGGGTGAATAAAAAATGCTGGTCACCTCATCATAGAAATGAGGTTAAAAAAAACCTGGCAAGAAGGTCAAAGTCATATTTTGAGATTATTCATATTGGCTGAAAAGATCATTTATTTCTAACTAGACAAAATTTCAAACCCTGAGCCAACTTCTATGGAAAAGTTTATGAAAATGTATGAAGTTTATGTTTTGTAGAAAGGCATCACTGTCTTGTCCACTTTACCTCTGTTTTAGCACCTCTTTCTTATCCTATTTCTGATTGGTCTTAAACACAATCCGTATTTTTCATGCTCATTGAGAATACAGTTATGTGGCTCAGTATATTTCAGGATATGAGTTTTGATGTTCAACTTGATCATTGGATAAATTAGGTGCTGTAAGGCAGTGAAGACAATTTAACGATTAAGGATATTAATTTTTTATCTAGGAATCAAGAGAAACAAAGTGAAGCTAGAATTGCGGTGGTAGAGAAGCAGTAACCACTCATGTTAAAAGCAAGAGAAGGAAACTTGGTTGCTTTGTGGTTGCATGGTGCCATTAATTGTGTCTGTATTCAGATGGGCCTGGTTCCATCACAGTCATGCTGTGACCTCATCTGATGTTGAAATTCTGTGAAACTGTTTATGTTTATAGAGAACATCATGGGTTATTACCAGTTGCCACTTGTCAGAGCTTTTGTATGATTTTCAGTACAGAGAACACGTCCTGTCCCTGCCACCCTCTTTTCCTCCCATCCTGTTAGAGAGTCATTTTTCTTAGGTTCTTATTCATCCTTCCAGTATTTCTTTTCTTTTCTTTTTTTTTTTTTTTGCAAATACAATTAAATATATTCTTATTTCTCCCTTCATATACAAAAGGTACTATATTATATACATTGTTTTCCCTCTCACTATACTCTGGAGATGTTGCCATATCAGCACAGACATCTCCCTCTTTCCTTTTCATGGGTGTATAGTACTCCATCATCTGGAGGTATCTTAGTTATTACAGAATTTGTCATCTTAACAGCAAATATCTTGTACCCCTAAAATAACATAGTGTAGACAGATTTCCCTTAAAATAATGCAGTGTGGATAGATGCTTATTTGTAAAATGAAGAGCTGATATTAGACAGCATTTGCTGTGTAGATCAGAGTCAACACAGATGTGAAAGGCACTCTGGTGAGCTGGCTTCTATTCTTGGTTCCACTAGCTATTTTCTTGACAAGTAACTTAAACTCTCTGAGCCTCAGTTTTACATCAGTAAAAATAAGGGGTTAACAGATATTTGATGCTCAAATGTTATATTTTTGATCTTATTCTCATAGCTGAAAACCAGTCAATTCACTTTCTAGAAAGAAACAAAGCCTGATTGGTAGCATTTGCTGGTTTCTATGATGTAAATACTCCCACCCCAGCCAATTTCAACCTACTAACAGTTTAACAGTTTGCAAAAATTTAACAATTGGCTCTTGGACCTGGGAAAACTTTCTAAAATGAAGCTTACTGAGATTTCAAAGTTGTAATCTCCTCAAATGGAAGACACATCCTACAAGCTTAAGTTATTTCACAATTAGGTTGGGGAAAAAAGAAACCAAAGAATATTATCCTCTAAATCTACTACCTTAGACACTCCCTGAAACTTTCATTAATCTGCAGCACAGAAGGATTGCTTCGGACCAAACAGTAATTTACTTTAATAAGTCTCATACATTTATCCAACCTGTATCTACAAAGAAGTTTACTTCATTGGGTCGAACGAAGTTTGCCATGTTAGTATACTATCTAATCCTGATTTGTAACTATAGCTGCACATTTTAATCAGCTTTTGAAGATTACTGCCATTTGGATCCAACCCCAGACTAGTTAAGTCAGAATTTCAGAAAGGTGGGGCTCCGACACTGGTTTGTCTCAAAAGAGTTCCAGGGGCTACTAAGATGCACTCAGGGTTAAGGACAATCCATCTTTCAAAACTTGGTATGTACATCTTCTGACATTTGCCTTTCTTTTGCTTTTCAGGTGAATCACACTGTGCAGATATGTACCCACAATCACAAATTGATTCACCTCAACTACTTCAAGCACGAGAAAAAATCTTTGGGATCCTACAAACATGGTTAATGCAATAGATCTCTCTGAAAAATAAGCTCAACAGAACTCAAAATCTGACATTCCATTTTACTGAACAAATGTAAAACCCACTGCAATAGTGAATTTAGAGATACTCAAAAGTCTGATTTCTCTATGTGTGGAGAAAGACCTAGAGAAAGTTGTTTTAGAGAAAGTTCATGTTGTTCCTTTTTTTTTTTTTTTTTGGCTGGCCTTGAGATGTAGCTGACCCTCCCCCCACACAAGAAATTAATTACCCTAGAGGACCAGGTGCAACCAGTTAGTTGGTTGCCATGGGGACAGAAGCTCTACATCTTGGATTTTCCAAGACAGTCTCTTATTTCATGAAATCTTATTCTATTCATAAGGGCCATTCATAAAAATATGTGTTATTTGATTACTTTTATGTGTGCGTTAAGCAGGAAAAAATACTTTGTCAAATAATGAACCTTCATCTTTGTTAAGAAAATTAAAGCATAGGTACAATTTGAGTGAGTTTGTTTAAAAATAAAAACAAAAAACTGAGGCATGTTTAAATCTTGTTGGGAAAACTGGAAAAAAACCAACTTTCCTGGTGTCTTCTGGCACTTGAAAAATGGTGTTGCTGAGCCTGATAGGAGTTAAAAGTAAACCCAACATGAGAAGTACAATGGTTCTTAAGCACAGAGATTTCACAAAAACTGAGTTAAATATAGCTTCCAGTTTGCAATATATAAGAGAGATGAAAGGTTGAGATTCTTAATATATAAAGTAATTTAAAAATCAATAAAAAGAACACTTCTGGTCACAATGGAGTGACAGGGACTGGATTTACCCTCCAGCCTGAAACAACCAAAACACCAGGAAAAAAAAAATAAATGAAACAAAGCCTTTTAAGACTTCAGACATCAGGCAGCAAAAAACAGTGATTCTTGAAAGATGGGAAATGAGAGGTGAGGCCTATGATGACCCCAGTTTAAGCCTGGATGGAGATTTCAGGAATCGGCACAGGGAGAGAAAACTGAAGCTGAGCCCAGAGGTCTGAGTTGAGGAATTGGAGATAGTAGCCTGGGAGGCTGAGGTGACCAGAGTGTACAGAGCAGAGTGCCAGAAAGAAGAAAGCAGCCCAGAGAGAGAACTTTGGAGATCTCCAGAGTTGAATGTCTGATACACTAATATTGTACATAACTTACTGAAGCCAAATATTTCCATATTGTTCTTAAGTCAATGCCATTTGATATTTGACTGGCACATTTGTGATAAACTCTTAATGCCCTCAACTGATTGAAGGCATTAAGATTTTCTTCAACTTCTCAGGGCAAATAGCACTTAAAAATAAATCTGTGCTTCCAAGAGTTGAAATATCTCTTGGTACTTACTACCTCTTCTCATAAAGAAGAGGTTCTTTTCCTTTTGACCTGAGATTCAGGACTAACTTTACAAAAACTGAGTTAAATATAGCTTCCAGTTTGCAATATATAAGAGAGATGAAAGGTTGAGATTCTTAATATATAAAGTAATTTAAAAATCAATAAAAAGAACACTTCTGGTCACAATGGAGTGACAGGGACTGGATTTACCTTCCAGCCTGAAACAACCAAAACACCAGGAAAAAAAAAATAAATGAAACAAAGCCTTTTAAGACTTCAGACATCAGGCAGCAAAGAACAGTGATTCTTGAAAGATGGGAAATGAGAGGTGAGGCCTATGATGACCCCAGTTTAAGCCTGGATGGAGATTTCAGGAATCGGCACAGGGAGAGAAAACTGAAGCTGAGCCCAGAGGTCTGAGTTGAGGAATTGGAGATAGTAGCCTGGGAGGCTGAGGTGACCAGAGTGTACAGCACAGAGTGCCAGAAAGAAGAAAGCAGCCCAGAGAGAGAACTTTGGAGATCTCCAGAATGTCTCCTTTGAGTCCTCAGCTCAATACTGAGCGGGGATTGTATGTGAGGAAGTTACCTGAAACCAGGAAAAGAGCCACTTGACAGGATATAAAGGAATCACTGCCTGTTCTCATATAGCTGAGAATAGTTCATGTTCCAACAAGCCAAAGTAGAGGTACTCAGAATTCATGGGGTCTTGGGTAGAGTATTCAGAGGGCTTTTGGCTCAGTAAAATTATTGGGGTAAAATAGCCCTCAGTAGCTGGGAAGAATTATTAAACACTCAACTTCCTGACAAAGCCTAAAAGCAAGATCTTAAAGGATTATAAACTGTTTTCAAGTAACTTTACTGTGCTTCAGACCAATGCTTAAGACTATTTATAGAAATACAAAATATCCAGCACCCAACAAATTAAACAACATCTTGCATTCAGTTAAAACATGCTAAGAAGGAGGACAATCTGACTCAATGATTAAAAAAAAATCAACTGATACTAACCTAGAAATGACACAGATGATAGAATTCAGTAGATAAGGATATTAAAAGTTATTATGACTGTATTCCATATGTTCAAGAAGCTAAGGAAGAGATTAAACCTTGAAGAAATAAAGATATAAAGACCAGATATTTAAAAATCAAACTTCTAGAAATGAAAACAATGATATCTGAGATGAAAAGCATATTAGATGTGATTAATAACAATTACATATTGCTCAAGAAAAGATTAGTGCTATGGACTGAGTTGTATTCCCTCCCCCTCCCAAACTTGTATGTTAAATCCCTAAATCTCAATGTGATGGTATTTGGAGATGGAGCCTTTGGGAGGCAATTAGAATTAGATGGGGTCAAAGGACTGGGCTCTCCATTAGTGCCTTATAAGAAGAGGAAGAGGGAAAGATCACCCACTCTCTGCCTTGTGCAGGTGCAGTAGGAAGGCAGCTGCATGCAAGCCACAAAGGGAGCCCTCACCAGGAACTGAATTGACTTTCCAGCCTCCAGAACTGTGAGAAACAAATGTCTGTTGTTTTAGTCACCCAGTCAATGGTATTTTGTTGTGGCAACCTGAGCTAAGACAATTAGTGAACTTGAAGACATGGCAAAAGAACTATTGAAAATGAAGCACAGAGAGAGAAAAAAATTTTTCTTTAAATAAAAGAGAGTATCCATGAACTGCGAGGCATGTTTAAGTGTGTGTGTGTGTGTGTGTGTGTGTGTGTGTGTGTGCGTATAATGTATGCTATACGAAGTTATTACGTGTGTGTGTGTGTATGTATGTATGTGTGTAAAACTAGAGTCTGTGGAGGAGGTGGAGGAAAAACAAAAAAATTTGAAATATAATGGTTGAAAAATTTCCAAATTTGATAAAAACTATAATCCCATATATTTAAGAACATCAACAAACCCTCAGTGCAACAATATGCAGAAAAATACAACAAGGTACATCATAATCATTTTGCTGAACACAAGTGATAAAGACGAGTCTAAAAAGTGGCCAGAGGGAAAAGATACCTAAGACACAAAGTTAAGAGTGATGGCTGATGTTTCACCAGAAACAATTCAAACTGGAAGACAGTGCACTGTGTTTGATGAAGAGGAAGGAGAAGGAGAAAAGAAAAAAGAAGGAAAAAAGGAGAAGGAGAAAAACTGTTAATCTAGAATTCTATACCCAGTGAAATTATCTTTCAGAAATGAAGGCCAAACGGAGACATTTTGAGACACACAAAAACTGAAGAAGTCATCACTAGCAGACCAACACTATGAGAAATGTTGAAGCAAATCTTTCAGGCCAAAGGAAAATGATACCAGTTGGATATGTGGATCTAAACAAAGAAAAACAGAAAGGGTAACTAGAAATAGGAACAAAAGGACACTAGAACATACAAAGATACTTCGAAAAGTTCATGGTAAAATAGAATTAAAAGATTATACAAATCTTTCCATGAACTTTTTGAAGCACCCTCGTATACTTATGCAGGTAAATATAAAAGACTTTTATAAATGTATAAAGTAAAAAATGTATAAAATGCATAAGTAGAGAATGTATACTGCAAACTTTAAAACAACTACTATAATGACACTACAATGAGTTACGGCTAACAAACCAACAAAGGAAATCACAAGAAATACTAAAAAATGCAACAGAAGGGATAAAGAGGACAAAGGGAACAAAGAACAGAAGGGACATATAGAAACCAAACGCAGGATGGTCGACTTAAACCTCAACTATATCAATAATAATGTTAAATGTAGATATTCTAGCACCCCAGTTAAGAGGCAGAGATTGAAAGATCAGATTAAAAAGTAAGACCCAGCTATATGCAGCCTATAAGAAACACACTTTAAATACAAAGGCACAGGGACCGGCCCGTGGCTCACTCGGGAGAGTGTGGTGCTGATAACACCAAGGCCACGGGTTCAGATCCCATATAGGGATGGTCGGTTTGTTCACTGGGTGAGCGTGGTGCTGACAACACCAAGTCAAGGGTTAAGATCCCCTTACTGGTCATCTTAAAAAAAAAAATAAAAATACAAAGGCACAGATAGATTAAAAGATGGAAAAAGATCTATGATATTATATGTAATTAACATAAATAACCTAAATACTCAACAATAGCAGATTGGTTTAACAAATTATGGAATATTCATGAAATGGAACACTCTGCAGTTATCATCAATGTTGACAGAGAAGTATAGTGTGGAAATAATTATGATCAATTAAGTGAACAATGTGATATTGGAAACAATTTAGGAAGGTTTTCCCTGAAATATTAGTGGTGATTATCTGTGATTTGGGGTGATTTTATTGACTTTGTATTATGTGCTATTTGTTTTTAATAATAAACTTTGTTTTTGTTTTTTTTTTTAATAAAGATGATGGGTAAGGGGATCTTGACCCTTGACTTGGTGTTGTCAGCACCACGCTCACCCAGTGAGCAAACCGGCCATCCCTATATGGGATCCAAACCCGTGGCCTTGGTGTTATCAGCACCACACTCTCCCGAGTGAGCCACGGGCCGGCCCTTAATAATAAACTTTGAAAATTAGCTGCCAGACCCACAATTGATCTATATGCCTTTCCCTAAGTTCCAAATACAAAAGGTGGATTATGGTTTTAGTGGTTCCCATTGCCCTTTGGAAACTTAAGTTTTTGGAAGAATGGACTTTGGGATGATCAAAATATTTCTCTCTTTCTCATCTGGCATCTTCCTGTCCCCACACTTGGACTATAATTAT